ACATATATACACATATTATATATATAAATATATTAAAGAATGTATTCTTTATATACATTAAGAACGTTGCATTATGTCAAATGTAGCTTGATACCAGTAAAGTTTATTGTTATCAAATATTATCCTTACGCAATGAAGTCGCACACCATCTTCAGGGTAACGCGAAGAATCAAATTGGAATAACAACTAAGGAGTAGTGCGGCGGCCTACATGTGTTTTGTGGCATCTGAAATATTTGACGTCACTGGACAGTATAAGTTTAAAGAAGGATATAAAAAATTATTAGCAACGCGGTTTTCCACGTTTTAGTGAATCTTTACGTCCCCTGACGCTCATGGGAAGTATTTTTGTACGTTTACTCTGTACCTACTATTTTACTCTAAAACTATATATCTACTGTTATCATTGTGATACTCGCAACTGCGATCGTCTTTGAAAACGTTAACATAAAATTATACCTAATAAGTAAACGCGTATTTGTTTGACGCGTTTACTTGATACGTTAGCATTAATTCTCTTAGAATTTAACAATTTTAAACTAAAAGCCGTTACGTCGGTTATATGCTAATATCAATTGTTATTATTGTGTTATTATTTACTTGATTACTTTATCAAGATTACCATTTATTCACAATACGCTAAATGCAACTATTTTATAACAAATGCACGTCGTAAAGCTCCTATTTTAATAATTCCTTATATATTGCGAAATGAAATAATTTTTCCAGAAGGCGATAGAAATTAATCTGTTACTTGGCAAGAGTAAACAAATATTTACGATATTTTTCTTCCTGTTTCAATTCTATATACGGATATATACACACTGGTATGTGATTTACATTCCTTAACGTTTATATATACATATGCTACATTTTTCAATTGATACATCAATCGCCGTTAAATCATTAACCGCATAAAGAAATAATATCTATTTATTATAAATGTACATACAACTGTTATTGTAATAAAGAAAAACGTGAGGGAAATGTACGATTACGTTAATGTTACACGTAATATTTCTCTTCTGTTTATTATATTTACTTACAAAAACTTTTTTTGCATTTATAAATCTTATCCTATCACTTTTATTTTAATATGGCTTAGTCCTATGTTGACGATCCCGTACTTTGCCAGTACCAATTTTTGCCACCAATTTGTGGCTAGAATTTGTCTGAATAGGTATAGTTTCACTTGGCCTCCAAATGTTTATAAGTCCACCTTCACCTACTGTTACCAAAGAACCGCTCTACAAATGATATTAATTAAAATGATATTAATGACAAATGATATTAATGACATTAATTAAAATGACAAAATTTCATTTCATCAAATGATATATGACATTAATTAAAATGACACATTTTATTTATATTAAAATTATACCTTTTCGTGCAACCAGCTATCACGTACTATTTGTTTGTTCTCTATCATATTATAATATGTTTCTAATCGATTATTTACGACATTTAAACATCTCAAATTTTCCCTAAAATATTTTAATACAAAATATGTGAAAAATATTACAAATATATTCCATAACTAATTATTGATGTATATTTAATTAAAATATTTAATTAATATCAATAAGAATATCATTAATTTTAATGTTATACTATCTCATACTGTTAAATTTCTAAGACAGAAAGCAATTTACCCTTTAACACTACTAAAACCTGCAAGAAGAAATGGTTGTCCAAGTGCATTTGAAGCATGAAATTTAACTATATAACAATCATCTGGATCATCGTTCTAAAAAAAATAATGTAAACTATTGTAAAAGTTATCATAAAATATTTTTGTTGATATTTTATGATCATAAAGATTTGGAACTGATATTTTATATAAACATTTATATTAAATATGCATATTCTATTAACCTGGAAAATTGCTATATCACTGCGATCAAATTTAGCATATGGAGTTACTTGATCATAATCCCAAAGTTGTAGTGAATTATGTGTAGTGCACCAAAGATTATCGTCACTTAACCAACCTATCCTATCCTATATTTTTGTTTAAAATAGATTTAAATTTTTCTACAGTATAAATATTTCTTAGATTTTATAAGAATATAAACTTACCACAGATGATTCTGTGTTTAAAGAATAAGTTAATGCAGAATCCTCTGATGGCTGTGTGAGATCGAAGACATTAATCAATCCATCTGTACTACCAGATGCTAAGACATCCTGCTTACTAGAATGAAATGCCAACGAGATTACATCTTCCATATGAGATTCCCAATACCCACCAAGGAGATTATTTTTATCTAATTTTGAACTAGTATATCGAGCATCCCAAAATAAAATAAATGTATCTCCTGCAACATGCTCAGTACCACCTGCTACAAGCTTTTCGTCGCAGCTAACATCAAAACTACAGAGAGGTTTTGTTTTACCATCTTCTGTATTATCTGAAAACCAAAAAAGAAACATATTAAATACGCAAATTTAATTGAAGATTAAGATATATTTTTTTCTGCTGGATTTATGAATACATACCTTTAAACTTTGCAACAACTTTGTCTTTAGCTCTCAGGTCACATGCTGTAATTTCTCCATTGTTGGTAGCTGTATATAAAATATTTTTAGAAGTAGGACTAAACTTAATACCAACGATAGGTGCTTGATTGTGAGTTAATGTAGCAGTTTGATTCAAACTCTCCCCAACAGAATATATTACACATGTATAGTCAGAAAAAGCTGTACCAATTCTAAACTCTGGATCACTATACATAAAAGTTAATTCGTGAGACATTTTGTAAATATTTTTTTTAGTATATATAATTATAAGTCAGTTCACGTCAAATCCAAATGTAATATTAAATGTATTTTAAATACATTTATCTAATTATGAAAATTTGTTTCTTAATTTTATACTTAATCGAATATAAGTAAAATAAACAATATTAAGATAACTGAAAAATTTCATTCATTATAATATTTATTAATTGCTAAATACACTTTTTAGTCACAATGTATTAAATGAAATAAATTTGGAAAAATATTAAAAATTTTTCTACAAAATAATCATACATATTTGAAATGAAATGGAAGATAAATTGCATGGCACTACATATTAAAAATATAGATAAACATTTAGAAATGTTTAAAGATTAAAGAATACCATACTTTTTTTAAATTAGATTTGACGCAAAATGCTCCATTAGGATAAGCAAGATTTGCCTTTGCGTTCCACAAACAGCAAGAATATAATGATCAAAAGATATTGCTTTTTCCATCGACGATATTAATTCGTTTTTCCTTTTAATAACTCGATTGTCATCATGTTTGTGCGTGCTATGTTCAACACTTAATCTTTTCAACGATTCAACTATTTTAGCCATGATGTTTGTTTTCGAGATTCTGAAGATATCATAAAATTAAGGTTAATATCATGTCTTAAATGTAAGATGTCTATCACTTTGAATTAAATCAAAACTATTGGAGTTTTTATCTTCAATTTCTTCTTTTGTATGAAAAATTATTCAATACACGTTTTTTCTTTACTTTACTTTAATTGTGAGTTTTATCAGATCATACTCTATACAGAGACGTTGAGCTTTAAAAGTTTTTTTAAAAATTGACGTAAACCATGAAGTTTGTCTAGTACTAGATCTCGTTTGCAGTATCAATGGTGGTATTAATTAAGGTAGATGTACTACATTATCGACAATAGTTCTACATTGCAACATTTTAATTATCCAAGTTTAAAAAAAAAATACATTTAATAATTATATCAGTATTACTGATATAATGTTCATCTAGAAGAAGGCATTTGAATTAAGTGAACATTATTCTCTTTTTTTTCTTACTTTATTATTTTAAGTATATACAAAATATTAAATAGGTTCGAGAGATGTCTTCTCATAAAAATGTGGCGCTAATTCTAATAACCATTCTGGTTGTATCACAGTTATATCCTTCATATACGTTTTATTTGTTTGCAAAACTTCGTAGAACAATAACCTTTAACAAAAACAGAAACTTTAGTATAATGTGTGTGATGTTATAAAAACACGAAACAAATGTACAAACCATTGAGGTTGTTGAAGTGTATATAAACAGCTATTTGGATGTATATACAAATCCTTATTTCCACGTACTGTTTTATATACGCCAGTGTAATGTAAGTATGCCGCTTTCGGGAAAAGTCCAGCGGTTATACATTTTAAAATTTGTTGTACATTTCCTTGAAGAGAAATTAACTGTTATTAAAAAATTTTTATAATAATATAATTTAAAGTTTTACAGCTTAATTTACCATTACACGAAACCAACGCTATATCTAATTTCTTCATCATAGAGTGCATTTGCGTTCGAATTTCCGTAGCTCTGCGTAAAGCTTTATTATTGAGGAACTGTTTTTGACACCAACTAGGTGTTTTATTTTTTTCATAAGCGGTATATACATTTAGTAACGTTAATAAATCTCCTTCTTCAACTTCGAATTTTCTATGCGTTATTCTTGCCTTTATAGCAGCTTGGCCTCCTGCTGGTTTTATAAAAACATTTTGCACTTGAAGCATAGCTAAAATCGTAGATAATTCTTCAGAACATCCCATTTCGCCTATATTCGTACAGAACAATTTTATATTTAAAGAATTATTTAAAATAATTAATATAAGCATAATTAATATAAGCATAATTATAAATATAATATTGTAGTAATTTTACCTGATACTATAAGAGATTTTGCCAAAACAGGTTCCAGTGGCATTTCTGCCATTGTTATGCCTAACGGCGTTGTTAATTCTCCATTATTATCAATTGCTCCTAATGCATAAAGTAATTCTAATCCAGTAAGAAGATTTTTGCTCGGTGGAGCAGAAGGAAAATTAAATCTTAATACATTATCAATTCCTAAAGCTTTCAACTGCAATATCGCCGGTGCCAGATCCGAGCGTTGCATTTCTGGTGGCGTTGCCTCAAATAGTTCTGAATATGCTTCTTCTGTATACAATCTAGATTTTAAATGAAACTTTCAAAAATATGAGAATATAAACCAACGAATAAACCTCTATTAGATATTTAAATAATTGGAATATTTACGAGAATTGTATACCTATATGCTTTTCCTGTTTGAACACGACCGGCTCGGCCAGCACGTTGGTCTGCGGATGCTTTGGATACAGGAACAATCACGAGTGAATTTGTTTGAGTTTCAGCCTCATACCATGGAATTTTTACAAAGCCACAATCGATAACTAGATAAAAATTTCAATATCATTTTTATACCGAATTTTATAAATTCTTATTGTATTTAAATAATAATAATAATAATAATAACAATAATAGGAATATTTTCTTTAGAACGTAAATAATAAATTAATAAAATAATGAATTTTATTAAATTCATACCATAAACAATGTTTGGAATAGTGATGGATGTTTCTGCAATGTTCGTGGCTACGATAACTTTACGAGTGTCTTTGGCAGCCCTCCAAAATACTTTCAGTTGTTCTGAGTTCGGAAGAGAACCGTACATTGCGAGAGGTAAAAGTTTTACTAAAAAGGAACAGTACCAGAACACTGATAAAATCTGTTTTAAACTTTGAACAGTTATATAACAGGACAATGACAACGAGAGTATCATTCCGTATCCTACTCACGTTTGCCTTCCTTTATAAGTTTTGCATGCTCTGATAAAAGAGAAACTGCTTGATCTACTTCGTCCAAACCCGTAAGAAACGCTAGAATATCACCAGGTTCTTCGTTTTCATGAATTTTTAAAACAGTATCTACCACACTGGTCACATAATTAGCTACTGGCTCTAAAATAAAATATAGGAATGTTAATACAAACAATGCAAAACACAAAATTGAAACAGAAAGATATCTCATAGAACTTTACAAAAAAATTTAAAAAAGTAATAAAAACATATTGATGAAAATATAATAAATTAAAAATAGGCGTTATTTATAGGTATACCTTTAATGTAGAAAATATCCACTGGATAAAGTCTACCTTCGATAGTAAGTATAACTGCAGTGTCTTTCGTTAAATCTTTGGTTGTATTTATATTGAAAAAATCTCGGAGCTGTTCCGCATCGACTGTAGCGGAACAAACAACAATCCGCAAACTCCTTCGTTTCTAAAACAAAACAAATTTCTTATAATAACTAGTATACCTTCTATTTAGGTTTAAAACTATGGATTTATAGTCTTCAATTACCCGAATTATTTTCTTCAAAAGTCCCATAATAATATCCGTAAGAAGAGTCCTTTCGTGTACTTCATCCACCACAATTACGGAATAACTTGTTAGCAAAGGATCACTCATTAATTCACGAAGTAGAATTCCTTCTGTCATATACTATCAATAATGTAATTTTATTTAATTACTGACTACATAATTTTTATTACTATTATAATTATATTATATTATATTATATTATATTATATTATATTATATGTAATATAATAAAGTTATAATATATGTGTATATTATTACATATACATATATAATTTTATTACTTTATTAAATACTTTTCTATTTTTACTTAGATAGACTATTTTTACTTTTTATTTCTTACATCTACAAATATTATATTATATACATATTTACATTATCGGAAAAAAATATTAATTTATAATAATAATTTTTGTAATATTGTCATGAAATTAGAATTAATGAGAAATGATGTGACATAAATTAGTAAAACTTAGTTAAAAGTGGAAGAGTTAAGAAAGGAAATAGTTGAAAAATTGAGAAAGTGTCAAAGTTTTAAATTCAAAGTACAGAGACAACTTAACAATTGTCGTGTAAATGGAAGTTAGTCTGGAATTAAATTATTGTTTCATTTGTTGTTACTAAATGTAGTTCTATTTGTTTTATTTTGTATGTAATAAGTAAAAATTATAATTTAAAATTTTTAAATTAATTTTACATAATTATATGATTAAAAGTGCAAAAGCATGCTTTCTTTACATGTAGATAGAATGCTTTATCTTAAATTATAAATAAATATATTTTAAATGAAATATAAATTTATATAATATAAATATAATATTTAAAATATAATATGTTAAATTAAATATTTGAAAAATAAAATAAATTCTTAACAGCAGTAAACATTAAAAATATTTTCTATTCTTCAAATACCATAATGTCTCAGATTATTTTTTGCTGTGATTATTTAAATTTGAATTTTTAAGTTACATTTCAAAATGTATCCATATATTTTTGTGACAAATAAATATTGATAATATACGTATCTTATCTCCCTCATTGCATTAATTAACATTTTAAAATAATACCTTGATTTTTGTCGTTTCGTCTGTATAATTATCGAAACGAATAGAATATCCAACTTCGGTGCCTAAAATACAATTACGTTCATCAGCAACACGATTAGATAAAGAAGTAGCTGCAACCCTTCTTGGTTCCGTGATGCCAATCATTTTTCCATCTGCGCACCATCCTGCTTCAAGAAGATACTGTAATCATTTTAAAAAATAAAAAAATACTTTTTGTAATTAACTGTTATAATATATATATTTAATATAATATAACAATATAATAATATCAGTATTATTCAATATATACATTATTATATAATATTAGTATCATAAATATAATATAATATAGTATAATGTAATAATATAATAATTAATAATGTAATAATATAAATATTTAATGCGTTAAAAAAAGTGTAACAAATATTTTATAGTCTGGAAACATTAAAATATAAACACAATTTGTAATATAATTTTTTAAAATGTATTTAACATTCTGTAAAATAATCTATCAGTATAATAATGATAATTTATTAATAATTAATAAAAATAATTAATTAGTAATGTTACATATTGATAAGCGATATCGAAATAATATAAGTTTAGGATATGGTTGTGTCCATACTATATTAGTATTCATATTGTGATAAATTATTTAATTTGTTAGCATTATACATTTTTGAAAAATTAATAATTGTTTATAAGAATCTGCATGACATGCTCATAAAATTAAAGAAATCCTACAAAAAATATTTTAGATCGTATTTATATTGTTGTCTAAATATTTGATATCTTATTTATTTCTTGTTCCAATATTATTGCTACGAATATTCATTATTAATAATAAATGCAAGAAAACTACTAAACTACAGTAAATGTTATAAAAACTATATTATTATAATTACATAATATTGATATTTAATAATGTTTATTTAATAATGCAATTTTTTTCGTATTCAATAGAGGAATTTCTATTATATTAATATGAAATATATTTTACAAAAATTATAAAAAGTAATGTTCTATTCCACATTCATTCTGGACATGAAGTTAATGTTTATGAATTATGTAGTATTTGATAATTATGAAAACTTAAACTTTTTAATATACAAGTAGTCTTATTATTCTTATCGCAAGATAGCAAAGGCAAAGTAAATAACACCATATGTCAGATAAGTAAAATTTATATTTTACACAAACTTGATTAGTACATTGTGAAATGCACTGATCGCTTTTCAAGTTCAACGCGAAGCTCTATACTCTGAAATCTACTACCAGCTTTAGCACATATTCGGTAACGGAAGAATACATATATTACGTCTTTGTAGTTTAATGTCATATTTATATTGGATTTTATTGAAAGCTCATTATAACGGTTTATATATGTTAAAAGTCTATCACGTGACTTCGGCAAACTTACAAGTACTAAACTAGGTAACCCGCAACAATGGATCACATTAAAATGCAGATAAAGGCAAGAAATCGTCAATTATTACAAGTAAAAAATGCAAAATTATATATTTTGATGCACTTAATATTAATAATTATCACATATTAATATATATTAAATAACTGTATATTTAACATAAATACATGTTTATATATTATTATTCGGATTTAATGATTAAATCGAAATACACAATAATTGTATTTCACATTTCAATCTATACTACAGGTATAAAAAACATATTAAAAAATTTTTATGAAATTTGAATACACTTTGATCATATTATCATATTATCCTTTAATAGTATGTTATTGTTTATCGTTAATTAAATATTAACATTAAAACCCCTCAAATGAATTATCAAACATCACAGCAATACCACCAAAATAAATAATTTATGACAGTTAAACAATATATCTTAATAATCATATTTTAGAAATATGAAATTAATATGTACTACATAGATAGTTATATAACTAGGAAGACAGACATATTAAATATTTAGTAATCTAAATTATTATTAATTATTATCTTTGTTTAAAAGGATAACATATGAATTAATATATTACAACTTACAAATGATTTAAGAAAATTTTGACTAATTGAACATTATAAATTTTAAAACTAAATTAAAATAAAAATTTTATTAGTTTACCATTTAAGGGGTTATACATATTTTTTCATACATCAGTCTGGTACGTATATAAAATACATGCAGAAAAATAGAAAATACAAAAAATTGTATCAAGATATTGTTGTATCGACAAATTTGCAAATTTCAGTGTACAATAGTCATTTTAGTCATTATATCACCAGTAACGAATAGTAGAAAACAATATTTTCCAAGATTCACGCTGTCATCCTTGAGTATATACATCAGATGAAGATATTTCTTCATCAATCAATGATGGTACATCTTGTATATATGTATAGGCCCGCAGAAAATGAAATTCAGTTACATAAACAAGTAATAATACAACAACATATGAAGACCACCTTATAAGTCTAATATATTCCCGCATACGATCAAAAAATATTGCTAACAGTAAATAATCCATGACAGCATGAAAATTTAAAAACTTCCAGCAGAGAGTTATTATTGTAAAGGATAAGCTTCTGAATACAGTTGTCTGTCTAGCATAAAGATGTTCTCTACTAATCGATGGTGTTCTATATTCAGTCTCAAGAAGATCTTGATATAAATATATATATCGATTCCAGGCGGCACTGGTGAGGAACAAGTGGACGGTCATAAGTAATATATTACGAAGCGCTGCGTTTGAAGTTTTCAGAGTTACGTTTCCAGGTTCCAAAACTGAAGACACAGGAAGTTGTGGCAGCTTATCATATCCTCCACGTCTACTTGAGTTGCGGGCAAGGAATTGATATAAACCAATAATAAATGCAACACAACCCAAAGCATCACAAATACCATCAATAATATAACCAGATGAACCAACATCTGAACGTTCACCATCAATATTTGCTCTTTTTCTAGCAACATGGCCATCTAAATCGTCTAGCCATGTTCTTGCTTGAAACAGTATTACACCTAGGCGTCTATAAGACAATGAATCACTGGAAACACATTTACCAGCCAACACTGCTATTAATACATGGAAACAACTGATTGCATTTGGCGTCACCCATACCCAAGAACTGCTTATATGCAGTAGATCATCCATGATAGCTGCAAGAGGACTCAAAAGAAAATGATTTGGATGATCAAGCATTAATCCTTTTACAGTCACTGTACATAACGGATTAAAATCACAAGGTATGATTGAAACATATCGTGTAATATTTGATGTAGGTCTTATATCATAATTTTGTGCTCTAGAATACAATAGAAGGTCCATTCCAAGAAAATATAATGTCATTAATATCAAAATTGCTAGGAATGACCTGCTTACTAGAGTTGTTGAACTAAACATTTTGTATATAAATTTGGCACGTATAAATTGGTATATTCCTGTTATATTTTCATAACATTCTTCTTGTATTACGTCATGATTTTCTTTATAATAGATTCAAACGTATTGCAGATATGTAGTTAATTCAAACGTACACTGTCATTAAATATTAGCAATAAATTCATTAATCAATAACTTTGTTATACATACTTTTTTAATGTAACATGAATAAAAAACACACGTTCATTTATTATTTTAAAACAATATTATTGTAATATTCACTTTTTCGATGTAATGACATACAATAATATGGTCGTTTAACTTTTGAACTCATCACGTGATTATGATGATTTTTGTTACATCTTTCATAGAATATTGATATTATGATAAATAACAGTACTTTGATCCGTAGTAAATAATGCTGCGATGTTCAGTATAGCGTGACTCCACATGGTTACATGAAATCTTGTAAATTCTGAATGTACTATTTTGATCGATTAATTGATACCATGCCAGTATATTTTATTCGAGTATTTAAAGAACAATTTAATGAACAACGTCATGTTATTTTGATAACATGAAATCCTTTTAATAATTATGTCGCACTATTGTCACATAATTCGTTTTTTTAACTGTTCGATAGTAAAATAGCTAATTATAAAATTTGTTATTCCATGATATTTCTTTTTACGGCACATGATCGTTAACCAAATTTGGAATATCGTTATTGTTACCGGCAAATTTTATTAACACATTACAATTTGGACAAATAATGAAGTGTACTGTCGTATCTTGTTTGACTACAATAGAATGGCGATGCAATATGATCTTTACATAGGCGCGTGCGCAAGTTTACGAAATACTAAAAGTTTCTATTGGATCTGTTTGTACGATTTATATATATATAGTATATGATCAAAATTTACAGATGAGTAAACATAAGGTGATTCCTCATGAAATAATAAAAAAAACGTACCTATAAAAATTTTTTTCTTTGAACAGAAAATTAATTTTAGATATTTATTAAGTATATACGTATGTATTAAGCTAATTCTTAACTAAACATTCGAAACATTTCTTAACTAAACTTCGAAATTTATTTTTTTGAAAACAAAGTTTTAAGTAAAACTTTAATGTACATTTATTTTCATATAACCTTTTGTTCATTGTTCGCTCGTACTCGATCGGTAATTAGATACATTTACGCATGTACCAAACAAAATTTTCAAATTTGGTTTTTTTGAAACTAAGATTCGATGAAAAGATTTTACTTTATATTTTTCTTTCTTATGTTTTTATGAGGAATCAATTCGTTTATGCTTTTAGGTGATATCTTATACATTATGTATATAAGATTATAAATAGTAAGTAAATATATATACATAAAAAAACAATCAATAAAATTGTATCTGTAGACTATCATCATTATACAGACTACTATATTCACACACACTTAAAAATATAATAAAACTATTTTAGATATTACGGATAATTTAAAAAATGAACAAGGAATAACATATCAACAATATTCTGATTTTTAATTGCATCTTTGATAGACATAAAATTCCATAACT